TGTACACTGAATCAACACGAGCTGCTGTGCGCATCTTGTTAAGTACAGATCACTTGACTGAACTGTTCCTGACACTACACTCAGTCTGGCCATACGGTGAGTGACTACACTTCTGACTCAGTGGCGTGTCTCATCACTATGAGTAAATTCTTCAGGGGATGGCGTCTACTGGAATATGTAAAAGGGCATCTGGGAATGACAGATCCTTTCTTTTACGCCATATAGCTCAGAAGACATAGCCTGCTGTCATCTCCCTTAATTTTTGGAATCAGGCGCTATCATCAGCATCTAAAATGTATGAGTTAAGTATGGGTGCTAGAGCTCTATGGTCCGTCATGAGGATGAAGTAAGCCATACTAAGCAGGTAAAACTTGCACTTCATCTTAGCCCATACTACTGCCACTAGTTCCGACTCAATTGTGGAATATCTCGTCTCCACATTGTACTAATTGCCATTCTCTAGGCTTACGCTCTTGCAGCAGCGCATAACCTACACCATACAGGCGGGAAGCATCCGTCTGGAGTACGGTCGTGAGTGCTGGGTCGAAATTGGAGAGAAAACGTGGTAGTGATAGGGCCTTCTACACACGACTGAATACTACATCATGGTCTAGCGTCCATAGAAGGTGCGGTTGGGACTCATGAGGGGCCTAAAACATCTCCAGACTCGGCAATAGCAGGGGTGAATTCGGCCAGTTAATTCACCAAGCCCATAATATTTCAGTCGACATCGAAAATGGCTGCTACCACCTAAAAAATAATGGTCGATCCTTGAAATTTTCAGGGGAGAACCGGGGGCCTAGGAACTCCTTGAAAATGCATTTAACTCAATTTCCGCATAAAAGATTAGCTGACTTTGGGAATTCAAAAATGGCATAAACCTTTTTTCTTCAGCTGTGATTTCATTCCTTGATAGTCTATCCCAACAGAATAACACTTCTGGCCCTGCGAGCGCAAGCTTTTCAGCATTTATGGTGATACCATGTGCACGGCATCTCAGAACATCCTGTACTCGCTTCAGGTGGAATGCATAGTACTCATCCCAAAGGAGGATATCTTCTACCACCTTTACACACTGCTGCACTCCGGCGAGGGCTATGCCACCACAGCGGCAGTACTCATCACCTGTGGCCACGAAGCCCAAGGGTCCTCGACAAAAGCGGAAGCAGCCGTAAGGGGTGATGAAGGTTGTTGTGTTGGTAGTGTTCCTATAAAGGTAATTACCAATACCCATACAAGGCATCCATGGTAGAAAAGTAGCACGCCTTTGAGTCGATACGACGAGCAAGGCGAGGTCAACAGGTATCCTGACACCACCTCTAAGCTTGGCCACAGTCACTGTGGGGTGACACCATTGTGAAGGTTTATCACCTGCAGGAGTAATGATACCCTGAGCAACATCCTCCTGCCAGGGAATTATTTGGGGAATGTGCACAACATCAAGATCCTCATAGGGTGTCAACACCTTCTTTAGCTTCATACTATGACAAAAGCCTTTGTTTTTATTACGAGAATGTCTGAAAACTCTCGCAGGAGAAACTTCTTTGCCTCATCAGGGGATGCAAATAGTGGAGGTCGTGGTGAAGGCAAAGGAAGAGGTGGGGCTGGCTGGGGGCATGTGGCCTCCTGGGGTGGTGCTGAAGGGAAGGCAGGCACAACTTGCTACCTGTGTAGGCTCTTTTTGGCAGGGCGTTTGCCACAGCGTCTGTTATCACTGGTATGAAACTGACTGTTCTGGATCTGGCAATCCTTTGAATTATTTGAAGCTGCAGTGTGTCTCCACAACAGTAGAAGTCGTGGTAAAGAGTTCATCCTTGCATGGTGACTGTACCATACGTCATGCTCTCATATAACGACCTCAGGACAGTACAGTTCATTTGTGACTCATCAGGATTATTTAGTCTGAAGTCTGTAGAGGTGTCTAGGGCTGGTACAGTTAATCCTAAAGGATCGGAGATACAAGGCCAATGCGAGATTCTGTTTTAAGAGCAAAGATCTTGGCCATATTTCGTGAGACATGGGAATCAGAGAGAATATTTCCTTCTGATGGTGATGACGGCGTCATTCTCTTCTTTGTGGACTGGCAAAGTGACCTATTTTACCACAGGTACGACAGGACACCCCTTCTTGATATGTGACCTGTACCCACAGCAATCACACAATTCCTATGTCTGGGTTCGTGGAGACTAGGGAGGGCGACTGGAGCTGCGGCATGTTTCTTCATCACTCCTGTCAGATCGCCTCTTCTGCCAATTGGTGGACACTGCACATGTAGCTGGTTGCAACAGCTGTAACTCTTGGGTGGTAGACTCAGGAGTTTCACGAAACCTACAGTTATTATGTCTTCAAGGGTTGTGTCTGACAGCCCTTGAAGACGTTTTGTCTCTTGACCTTGAACACCTATCAACATGGCATGCTTATTTTGGGTTTCAACGAAAGCATTGCTGTCCTTTACACAAGTCCACATCATCTGCTGTTTGTTTCAAGTGCACATAAAATCCGTCAACTTATTGTGAACCTGACTGCACTGGGCAAGGAATAGGGGAGGCTGGACTGAAGCCTTTGCTGAAGTAGTACCTGACGAAGGCGCCGAAGCTGAAAGGTCCGTAGCGGCAACAGGCTGTCGTCCCTCAGCCTGTAGGTCGGAGACGTGGTGAAAACAGCAAACAGCTCTAAAAACCATTGTTTTTCCTTCTCTACCCTTCGTCCTCTCTTCTACATGTCTTCCTCCTGTCTTCATTTGTCTTCCTCTTGTCGTCGGTGTTCCTCCTCTTGTCTCAGTCTGGCTTCCTTTTGTTGTCATTTCTCGTCCTCTTGTCGACGTTGTTTTTGTGCTTGTTTCCTCTCTTCTGCCTCTTGCCGCCATATTTCCATCATTTGTGACAGTACACTGAAATAGAAGCTGGTTGTGATTCTGGTGGCGACCTCTTGTGTACCCGCTGCCTTCGTCATCCTAGGTATTTCCATAAATAACCATAGTTAAATGTCTGCTATTCTTTGAGTGTGGATCTTGGACTTTTATAACGCAGCGCCTCGCAGGCGGGTGCCGTCAAAACTCCTGAGCTCGGTCGGCCAATTCCGGGTTTCAACGTCACGAGGAGGCAGAGCTTCCTCTTTCTGGTGTGATCAACAGTGCAGCTTTAGACGGGATGCGGGGTGGTGTAGAGCACAGCTCCGGCTAAAATGACTAAAAATGTGGAAGGAACGAAGTGACAGCAGTATTCCTTGGTCACAATACACCCCTAGAGTTCACTGCACTGCACAAACATTACTAAATCACTTCAAAACAGGAAGGTAGACACTGGGCACGAAGAAACTGCACTGCTGAACACATTGCCAGTCAAGCTCTTCAATGTCTTTTCATATAAACTTACTGTGCGAAGTGGTTGTGGGTGTCCACAGAATGTCTTTCAGATGTGAACGGATAAACACGTAAATCTGTTGATGACAGGAGAGAGAACGATACTCGAAGGTCTGCACTGACATCTCTTGTACCGTAGCAACAGTACGACTGTCTTCTGTCGAAAACAATAACAGTGTTACCATACATATATTCCTATTTGTTATATAGTTTGTCTACTGGTGCATTATATATACAACATACAGCATTCTTTGTACATGCTGTCCGTCCTATTGTGGACTATACTTCAAGTCCAAACAAGAAAAAACAAAGACAGTCCAATGGCAGCCTGGTGGGATGCAGGCCATGCTTATTCCCTCCCAAGCCACGCCACGGGCACAGACTTTGATTGGGTTCTTAATCATGAACTTGGCACAAACACAAAGGGTCATGACAGCCATCACTACTTCTACTAGTAGAACCTACCATGGACCCCATAAGACACTGCAGGTGCCTGCTTTGCAGCAAAGGCTGACACAAAATCCATAAGGGTCACTGACAATGCCTCCTCGCCCTAAGCTGTAGCACAGCATGCCTAATGGCATCTACCTCTTGATCTCGGTCCTCACACAAGCACAGAGGATTCTTATTCAGAGTAAAAGAATTATCATAAGCTGGGTCTCTAGTGACATAGGCATCAAAGGAAAGAACTCGCTTACATACTTGCCAAACAGGGTAGGGTTATGCCCCAAAATCCCATGATTGTCAAACTAGGTCAAAAGATACTGTGCTACAGGTCCAACGCCAAAGTGAATTCCATTATACAGCAGCTACATAAAGATAAAACCAGAACCTCCCCCTCAGCCAGATGGTACTCAAACGCCCCAGGTTATGAGCCATTGGCACTTCCTCAAAATATACATAGAACTGCCGTAGTCATACTGTACAGATTTAGCCTAGGAAGCAGAAGTAATCCATGGAGGATTTAACCAATAAAATTGGAAAATCATGGAAGCTGCATACATTGCGATGGAGGAGAGTGTAAACACCACATCAGGCAGTTTCAAATTATCCAAGGTCGCAGCAGCAATTGTCCGAATAAGTGCAAGGTCCCAGTCGTCAGGTGATTCATCAGCTCACGTAGAATATATATGCTCTGTAATTTCTTTGATGTATGCATTTCTGTCGAAGATATATTCGAAACCGGTCTTATATTTTCTTGCATTGTGAAGATATTTATTCTCATTCATACCTTTTCTACCTTATCTACAGAGTTATGAGCACATAATTTCTAAAACAGGTAAACCCACCACAGACGCCGAGCTGTTAAAAGTTTTTGCCTTAAGCTTATGCCATGGTAAGAAGCGGCTCTTTGCAACCCAGCCACCACACTAACTGAAAACGAACCATAGAGACAATTAGAAATGGCTGCCACGGTCAGGGCCACTCATGAACAAAGGCCCGGGCGAAGCTAGACTTCGCACTTCGAACTAGCCAGTGACGTCATCAGCCTCCAGGCTAGTACAGTGGTAACGTGTCGGCCTCTCGCCCGAGGTGTTGGTGGTTCGCGACCCACCCAGGTGCAAGAGGTTGTAATTGTCGCCTGGAGGTTACTGCTGTGGCTGGGCACCACGGCGGATAAAAAACTAAGCCCCATCCA